GGGGGGGGGGGCGAATGGGCCCGGGGCCCTTGTCCCAGCCCCTGCTTCTGCAGGGAGGGCCTTGTGACAGGGGACCGGGGTGCGGGTCTCTGGTGGCCCGGCAGGTGCCCGGCTGCCTGTGTGCCAGCCCACTCCCGCTTCCCTCGGCCGCAGGTTCCAGAGGAAGTACCTGTACCAGGATGTCGGCCGCACCCTGTGCCAACCTCAGACCAAGAACGAGTCTGAGCTGCAGTTCTTCTACGTGGACGTCTCCACGCTATCCCCCACCAACGTCTCCTACCAGCTCCAGGTCACCCGCGTGGAGAACTTTGTGCTCAGGTGGGCAGAGGCGGAGGAGCTCGGCACTTGGTGTGGCCGCTGCCACGGGCTGGAAGCCATGCCCAAGCGGGGGGGGGAGGGGGATGTGGAGGCAACAGTGCCTTTTGCAGGAGCAGGGCGGGAGGGAGGGGGTGGAACCAGGGTCGCACTGCACAGCCACTACAGCCTGGAAGGCCTGGGTTCATAAGAACATAACAGACGCCAATGTTGGATCAGGCCAAAGGCCCATCATCCAGTCCAACACTCTATATCACACAGTGGCCGAAAATACCAGGGGCCATCAGGAGGTCCAGCAGTGGGACCCCTTTTGGCCCCCCCCCCCAGCACCAAGAAGACAGAGCATCACTTGTTCCAGATACCTTGTGGCTAATAGTCACCGATGGACCTCCGCTCCATACTTTTATCCAATTCCCTTTTGAAGCCAGCCATGCTTGTAGCCACCACCACTTCCTGTGGCAATGAATTCCACGTCTTCATCGCTCTTTGGGCGAAGAAGGACTTCCTTTTATCCGTTCTAACCCGACCGCTCAGCAATTTCATGGAGTGCCCACGAGTTCTTGTATTGGGTTCAAACCTCTGCTCAAGCCGTGAACCTCATGGAGTGTTGCAGGGCCAAAATGAAGGAGGAGCAAACCACATCCATACGGTTCATCGGAGGAAGGGTGGGAAAAAATGCACTGGGAGTGACTGGCTAGGGGAGGGGGCCAACAGCGGTGGGAAGAGCCGGCTTGGAAGCTGCTCTGTGCCCAAGCACAGCAAGCCCTCTCACGAAGAGCATCTGGGAACATGTGCAGAGTGTTTTCACCACTTCTGAGTGGCCACATTCTGCCCACTCAGCTCAGGGTGTCTGGCTTCCTAGCTGGCTCCCAAGTGAGCCCCTCTATGGTTCATGAGATCTCCGGCAATACTGCCCCGGCATCACCCTTTTCCTCTTTTTCCTCCTCCTCCCTGGCAGGACGAACCAACACTTGGACTTCAATGCCACTGCCGCCCAGCCACAGGTACCTGTCACAAGTGCCTTCTCTGCCAGAATGCTCCATGAAGGGTTTGGCAGGGCTGTGGACGGGAGGGGAGGGGGTGCCAGAGGACCTGGTTTCTGCCGCTGGACCTCCTGGACTCTCTGTCCAATTGGGAAGAGACCTGAGACTGGAGGGTGTGTGTGTGTGACCCGAGTGCTCTTCTGCCAGCACGCCTCTTGCCGCTTCTCCCTCGTCCTCTGTGTGCCTGCCTGGGCACGTGCGGACTGGGATCCTGCTCCGTGGGGCTGCAGAAGCAGAGCCTGAACCGATCGTGCTTTTCTGCAGGCTACAGGAGAGGAGGGAGCTCTGCTTCCAGCCGGGGGTCTTTGTGTGGGGGGGGGTAGGCTTTGGGAAAGCAACTTGCTTATTGTCGTGTCTCTTCCTGGACAGTATTTCAAGTATGAGTTTCCGGAGGAGGTGGACTCGGTGATCGTGAAGGTGACCTCGGCCACGGCCTTCCCTTGCTCAGTCATGTCCATCCAAGACATCCTGGTGCGTGGAGTGGGCTGCCAGGCAGGGGAGCGATGGAGTCCCTTGACCTGCTCCCCGTCTCTTGCAGCCAGTGGCTTGACTCTCCCTTTGCCCCTCCTCCTCCTCTTCCTATGTGTAGTGCCCCGTCTATGACCTGGACAACAATGTGGCCTTCATCGGCATGTACCAGACCATGACCAAGAAGGCTGCCATCACCGTCCAGGTACATCCTGCTTTCTTTGCGCTTGGCGAGCTGTAGTCTGAGCCCTGCCAATGGACTGCTCAGAATTCCCCGCTGTCTCCAGTGTTGAGTGGCATCAATTAGCAGGGACCTGGATGGTATCAGCTGTGCCCAGTGAACCTGGCAGTGCCCTTGGCGAGGCTGGCTCTGGCTCAGGAGCAGGTAGCCAGGGCCTGGCAGCACCCATCCGCCCCGTGGGGTCTCTGCTGGTTCCTTCCTGGAGCTGGAAAGATCCCCTGGTGAGAGCCTGCCCGCCGTTTCCTTTCAGAAGAAGGATTTCCCGAGCCACAGTTTCTACGTGGTGGTGGTGGTGAAGACAGAAGACGAAGCTTGTGGGGGGGCGCTGCCTTACTACCCCTTTTCCAAAGGTGAGTGGCGTGTGAGTGTCGGGGTGGGGGTGGTTCTGCACCAGGTCGTGTCTCAGGTTGTTTTCGTTTGGTCCCACTGCATCCGGTGCACTGTGCTGTGCCCTCAAATGGAGCTCAGGACCATTACCTGACACGAGCGTGTCAGGAAGTACACTAAAGCTCAACTGAATGCTGTCCCTCTGGAAGAAGTGATCGGCTGCCACGGGAGGGTTCCCTTTGCAGATAGGCCTTGCAACGGCACACCAGGAAAGACGGGTGCACAAGAACATTGTTTATTTGAATGCGGCCTTTTTATTTCAATCAGACAGCACTGGCTCTCCTGCTTTATACATAATACGGCAGTGTACCTTCTTCACAAAGGATTGCTAAATTATTGGCTGGAACAGATGTTAAAATTACTCTGGCAGTAGTTAAAGTTTTTGTGGATTGTTATTAGACATGGAATTGGAAGGCAGATATTTAGTTGAGTTTGATTTATCTGGTCTGTCAGCGTGGGCTGCTCGAAACCATTGGACTACAAGAGGAAGCCAGAGGATGAGAAATGGTATATGTTAGAGAGTCAGTAGAAACGGGGATGGCAACGATGCTCTGGAGAGGAGCCGCTGTCCTGCAGGACAAAGGTTGGGCAGGATTGGGGTACCGGGAGCCCCAAGTGGAAGTCCCAGCAGCAGCTCTGCTCTTGCCTGGTGCCTCCGTCCTGCTCCTGCCTGCCAGGGGACTTCCGGGGAGACTGCCTCAGAGACTGCCTGCCGGGCTTTTGCACTGCTAAGAGGGGAGTGGGCTGCGTGTGGCCAACCCCTGCCCCCTTTGCTCCTTCCAGATGAGCCTGTCGATCAAGGCAGCCGGCAGAAAGCCCTGAACGTGGTGGTGTCCCCAGCCGTCGCCTGTAAGTATCTCTGGGTCGGGTGGAGCTTCCTGTGGGGAACAGGGCCTCCTGCAGAGCCTCATCCTCACCTCTCCTTCAGCCGCCGGTCATGTGCTTGGTGCTGCACAGCGGTTGCCTGAGGGCACTTTGCAAGGGTTCTTCCTCTTTCAGTCCGTTTAGCCCCCCCCCCCACACAGTGCATCACATGCCTGCTCTGACTGCCCCTCCTCCACAGGCCTCCCCTCCTCTCTCTCTTCCTCCCTCCCTGCAGTGCAGGCCTACGTGAGTGGGACGCTCTTCTGCCTGGGCATCTTCCTCTCCTTCTACGTGGTGACGCTGCTCATCGCCTGCTGGGGGACCTGGAGGTGAGTCCTGCCCTGGTGCCACGGGGGCCCCCACCCTCGTCCCGGCTTTGCTTTTGCCACCAGGATGGGGAAGGAGCCCGCCCCCCACAGACCTCCTTGTGGGGACGCAGGTTCTGGGCGGTGTGCGTACCGCACTTGACCTCTCCGCCTTGCCGTGGCTGGCGGCCCCCAAGCTGCCTGGGCTTGCCGGAGGGACCGTCCCTGCAGTCCTTCCTTGTGCTCCGGGCTCATCCGGGGCTGCCTGGCTTGATCAAGGGGGGGGCGGAGGCGTGTGGTCCGATGGCCCCTCTCCCGTTGTGCCTCCAGGACCCCGCCCGGCGAGGGGCTTGTCGTCGGGGGCTGAGGCCGCCACGAACAGCCAAATTGGCCGCTTCTCAGAGGAGGTGTGGGGTTGTCCCACCCCTGCCAGCCCCTGGTCTCTTGGTCAGCCAAAGACCGCTGGCCCAAGTCTGGTCATTCTTTTGCAGCCAGCAGAGGAAGAGGACGGTGGGGCTTCTAGCCGCCATGGAGACACCCGGGACCGACACCGGTATGCGGCTGTGGGGGGAGGCTGGAAGGCCTGATGAGTGGGCGTGGGCAGCTTTCTGGTGGCTGGCCCAGCGGAACTCAGCGGCCGTGGGCTCTTGGCTCAGCTTCCCTGCTTGAGGCCACGCCCAGCTTCTCTTCCGCAGGGCCTGAGACGATCCCAGAGAGAGAGAGAGGGTGGGGGAGGACAGGCAGGGTGGGTGGGGCCAGGTGAAGAGAGGCGCATTGGGGTGCCCGGATGCAAAAGCTCACTCCAGGGCCCCCCCGCTGGCTCTGGAGCCGTTTGCTCAACCAACAGGATTTCGTCTTGGTCTCCAGGCGTCACTGAGGGCAGGAAGCATGATGTTTGCCTGGGAGGAACCGTAAGAGCCCCACTGGATCAGACCAGTGGCCCACCGGTCTAGTGCAGCAGTGGTGGATCTGCTCCTCTTGAATCTGTAAACTCCGTTTAAGGGCACTGATGCCTGCCTGTGGCCACCACTGCGTTCTCTGGAAGAGAATCCCGCTTTTTAATCTCTCACTGAGTAAAGACGGATTTCCTTTTGTCCACCCTGAACCTACTGCCCGTCAGCTGCGTTGGATGCCCTCAGGTTCTTGTATTTGGGGAGAAAAAGAAAAAGTTCACTCTCTCTACCCTGTGAATAATTTTAGATACCTCCCATCATGTTTCCCCCTCAGCCTTAATCATCTTGGTTGCCCTCTTCTGTGCTTTTTTCAGCTCTTCAATGTGTGTTTTATGAGATCCGGTCACCTAAACCATACACAGTGTTCCAAATTAGGTTATGCTACGGATTTGTACAGGGCATTACAAAATATTGGCTGCTTTATTTTTAATTTCTTTCCAAATTATCCCTGTCATGAAGTCTGTGTCTTGGACCATGGTTGCACCCTGGGTTGAGGTTTTCATTGGGTTATCCACTGCAACCCCCGGATCTTTCCATCTTGGTCTCAGCCCATTCATAACCCATCATCCCGTACTGAAAGTTAGGACTTTTTGTGTGTATCATCTTATGCGTGCCAGCATTGAATTTTGTTTGTCACATGGGTGCCTGCTCACCATCCTGGTTTTCACCATCCTGAACAATTTGGTACCAGTGTTCCCTCTAAGCTGAGTTAGTGTGAGCTAGCTCACAGTTTTTTAGCCTCTGGCTCACACATTTTTGCCTTGGCTCAGGAAGGATGTGGCTCCAGAGCACACTAATTTATGCAATAGCCAAATCGCTTGCTCACAACTTTAATGCCAGTAGCTCACAAAGTGGAATTTTTGCTCACAAGACTCCACAGCTTAGAGGAGCATTGTTTGGTACTATTTGCAAACTTGGCTATGACACTTCACACTGCCCACTCCAAATCATGTCTGAATACAACAAGAAGCCCTGCTCCCATTTCCGATCCTTGCGGGGTCCCGTTGCTCACTTCCGTCTGTCGTGAGGACTGTCCGTTCCTTCCATTATTCCAGTTCTCTGTCATTTAACCAATTTGTCATCCATACTTCTCTGTGGCTGGTTCTCCTAACCCATGACTGCTAAGCTTACTCAGAATTCTTAGCTGAGGGAGCTTGTCAAAAACGTTTGGAAGTTCAAGCGTGTGGTGTGCACTGGGTTGTCCTTTCCCACACCCTTGTCAAGCTGCTCAAAGAGGTGCAAAGGAACTGGGGGGTGCTCACATTCCGCAGGGGCCCCGGTGCTCTGTCGTGTGTGCCCCTGTCGATGGGGTCCCAGCTCTGCCTCTGGGAGCCTGTTCCCGTCATGCCTCTCTGAGGAAGGGGGAGTTGCGCTGGCTGGCATGCCCGCTCGCTGTCTTGGGCTGCTTCCGCGCGCAGGCCCTTCTCCACTTTGGCATCCCGACGGCAGTATTTTTATTTATCTGTTTGTTTCTTCGGAGTAGCCACACCAAGCGTCATGGGCCAGCCGTCCCTTCCTGGGCCTCAGTCTGTGCTTTCCTCCACCTGCTCTTTGCTGTGACCTCAAAAAAGAGCGCAGCCCAAGGAAATCTCCACATTGTCTGGACAGGCACATTTTCAGAGATCCCACCTGTGTCTGCACCATTCTCCCCCCACCACCACCACCCCTGGTCAGCTCATCAGGGCCGCCACCTCCCCCGTCACGCCACCGGATATGTTTCTGAGGACTTAAAAAGTTGCCAATTACTATAATGCCATTCAATTCACTTTTTTAAGATACGCTTTCAAAAAGTTGTCCCGTGGTGAGAGAGGCTGCCGGGGAAACGGCTGCCGATGGAGGACAGGGTGCACCCGCCTGTGCAGAGGGGCCACGGCCAGTGTGCCTGTCCCTGCATTTGCAGCGGCTGTGAACGCAGCGCAGAGGTTCTTGGCCGTGCCTAGGCAGCCTGGGAGTCGCTTTTGCCTGCTGGTCCGGTGCGGCTCAGGGGTGCTGGGGGTGTGTGTGTGTGTTTGGCTCTGTCTCTCTGGCAGGCACCAGGAAGTGCCTGAGGAGCAGTTGGTGCGCTCCATCTTAGCAGCTGAGTTCAGGCCCGTGCCAGTAACACTCTCTTTCTCTCTCTCTCTCTGCTTCTGCCCCCCATTCAGCTCCTCTTCTTGGTAAGCAGCAACCCTCCTTTCTTTCTAGGGGCTGCCTCTTCAGTTCTTTCGGGGTTTCTTGGGCAAATCCTAGAGCTCCCCCAGCTTCCTACCCCAAAGACTGAGGGCCTGGCTGAGTGAGACCCAGGTGCCCTGTCCAGGGGCCACTGCTCACCCCCTGCCCCCTCCCCCCCGGTCCCCTTCCCTGCGGTCCCAGTTGGCTGACGGTTTTCTGCTGGTTGGTTGCAGGGCATGCCGGTGTCACCCCAGACCCCTTCTTGGGACACCCACCGTACAATGCCTACGGCTACGGTTCCTTTGGTGAGTCCCTCCCGGGCGGTGTGTTGCCTTCCACGGAGCCCCCTGGCCATGTCTGTGCACTGGACACAGCCCCGCTGAGCCAGGCTGGACCGGCGTTCTCCTTCCTTGGCGTACAGCCGCTCCTCCGCTTCGCTTTGGAAGGGCACAGGGGGGGGGGGGCCTTCTTGCCCTGGTCTTTGCTCTGGCTTTGCTTGTTTGCTTCCGCCTCTGAGCTCCCAATTGCTTCTCCAGACAACGGTTCCACAGTCAGCACGGAGAATGTCTCTGACAGTCTGGTCTCCACGGAAGCATCCTATGGCTACACAGGTGAGGCCCTGCCCAGGGCTAGCTGGTGCCTGGGGGCTAAGACCCCAGCAAGCAGACTGAGATGCCTTTGGTTGGCAGAACTGGCTTTGGAGGAAGTTCCCGAGGGGCAGAGGTGGAACTCCATGGCCTGGTCCAGAGAACAGGCGCTGGCTCTGACGGCCACTCGGGTGTTAACTGTTTGCTTTTCTTTCAAGGGCAGGAGCCGTGCCAGCACCGCCAGCGACACTTGGCCATTGCTATGGGTAGATAGTGGCACAGAGAGAGAGAGACGGCCAATCACTGCCCCTGGGCATCCCATTCCTGGCCCCAAACATGGGAACTGATGTGGCCCCCCGGCTTGCAGGGGAGGGGTGGGGAGTGGCCTTGCCTGGCCTTTGTGGCCGGGGGGGGGTCCTGCCTTGGCTTTTGGGGCGGGGGGGGGGGGGGTTGATGAACAGGGCCTCGGCAGTGATCCTCCATGGCTGGCAGGCCAGAAATGGGATGCCCCCTCCCCTCCCCACCACTCAATCTGGCCCTGGTGGCTGCTTTCTGAGGGGCTGCGTCCACTTGGGGAGGGGGCTGGGGTGATGGGGAGGCAGGGCTCCCCTGCTCCCGCACAGCGGTGGGGGGCTGGGCTCCAGCCTTGTCAGTTCACTGGGTTCCCTTTGGAAGCAAAGTCGAGAGGGACCCCTCCTCAGAAAGCTTGCCGGAGGGGAGGTGTAATTTTGCATGGTGCTACCCCTCTCCCCCCCGCATGAGATGACTGACTGCTCGCCTTCCAGAGCGGTGTAATGGCTGCTCTCTGGAAGGAGAGGGAGGCTCCGGTCTCAGGGTGTAATTACAGGAGGGGGGAAGAATCATTGCTCCCTCGGTGAGCCAGGGGTCTGCCTGGGAAACCAGCTTCCGGGACTGAGCTCTGGGCCCGGCATAAAATAGGGGAGGGGGGGCGGTTGGTCAGCGGCATCGCTGAGTGGGTGGGATGTGGGAGCTGGCTGGCCAGCAGCGGGCTTTACCCCCCAGGGGCTGTCAGGGGCTCCCAAAGGCTTGAGGGCACCGACGGCCCTTGAAATGGGCACTGCCGGGCAGGTCTCACTGGAGGAAGGGAGAGCAAAGGGGTCTCTGTGGTCACGCTGCCCCCCCCCCCCGCAGACCGCTCCCTGGAGAACCTCGCGGGGCGTCCACGGCTCGACTCCCTCAGCTCTGTGGAGGAGGACGAGTATGACACCTTGGCCGACATCGACTCGGACAAGAACGTCGTCCGCACCAAGGTGAGCGAGTCCGTGAGGAGGCGGCCCCCTCTCCTCCTGCGCCCATCAGCCGGGCCAAGCCACGGAGGTGCTGCGTGCGTGCATCACCGTGGGGGGAGCCGAAAAGGCTCCAAGCTTGGGCAGCACTCCTAGACACGCTCCCATCAGTGGATTGGCAGGGATCATTTGGAAAAAGAAAGACCGTGGGGGGATGCTGAGGGGGCAGATGGAAATGTGTGGCCTGGAGGGGGGCAGACTCCAGGAAAGAACAGCTTGCGGCCTCTGTGGCATGCCTGAGCCCCCCCGGCCCCACAAGTGATTTGCTCCGTAGGGCCCTCTTGCTATGGGGCTCTCTACCTGGGGCACACCAAAGAGTGGGTTGTGGGGCCTGACCTCTGGTCGTGCCCAATCCTGCTTTGGGGGCTGGGAGATGGGGGGGCGGCTGGCTCCCAGGGCTCTGCGCCCTGTAATCCGTGCCCCTTCTCCCGCCCTCGATGCAGCAATACTTGTATGTGGCGGACCTGGCGCGGAAAGACAAGCGGGTGCTGCGGAAGAAATACCAGATTTACTTTTGGTGAGCGAGGTTTGGGTGGGCTGGCGGGGCCGGGGGGCCCTTCTCCCTTTCCATCGCCCCTGGCCGAGGCCTGGAGACACAGGGTGCGCCGTCCAGGCAGGGGGAGGGGGCAAGGGCCACCCAGGTGACCCTCGGTTCTGTCCCTCCGGCAGGAACATCGCCACCATCGCCGTGTTCTACGCTCTGCCCGTCATCCAGCTTGTGATCACGTACCAGACGGTGAGTGGCGCCTCTCCTGGCCTTTCCCTGCCGTGTGGGAGCGGAGGTGGGACTTTGGGCCCTCCCTAAGGCTGGCCCCGGGCAGCTCAGGAAACCCCCCCCCCTCCAGTCAAGGCCCAAGGAGAGCCCTCTTCTGCTTTGCAGGTGGTGAACGTCACCGGGAACCAGGACATCTGCTACTACAACTTCCTGTGTGCCCACCCGCTGGGCAACCTCAGGTAGGGAGGGAGGGTCACGCCGGTCCGGCCACCCCCGCCCTTGGGCATCACAGCGGGGGTGGGAGGGAGGGAGGGGAGGGGCTTGAGCAGCCCCCCAAGGCCCACTGTGTCCCCCGTCCTGTGTCCCCAGCGCCTTCAACAACATCCTCAGCAATCTGGGCTACATCCTGCTGGGGCTGCTCTTCCTCCTCATCATCCTGCAGCGAGAGATCAGCTACAACCGGGCCCTGATGCGCAACGACATGCAGGCACTGGTGAGGGGGGGGGCGTCCTTGTCATCCACTCCTCCCTTCCCCTTTTGGCTTGGGCCACCGTGGGGTGTGGGTGGGAACTTTGAGGCAGTTGGTCTGTCTTCTCCGCGGTTACGGTTACGGCTCTCTCCTCTCCTCTCCCCTCCCCTCCTCTCCCCTCCTAGGAGTGTGGAATCCCGAAGCACTTTGGCCTCTTCTACGCCATGGGCACGGCTCTCATGATGGAGGGGCTCCTGAGCGCCTGCTACCACGTCTGCCCCAACTATACCAACTTCCAGTTTGGTGAGTGTTGTGTGGGAAGGAGGGGGGCTCTTGATGCCCCACAGCTCAGCCAAAGGGAGACGAGAGGCCATGGAGCAAAGGGCAGGTGTTCCGGGGATCTGCCTGGGGAGGCCCAGCTCAGGCGTTCAGCCGGGAGGAATAACAGAGGGCCTCCCGAGCATACGCCAAGTGCGTTTCCTTCACCGCGGATTGCCCAGCCGTCTCCTAAGCAGCTGGCCTCAGGGTCAAACCTTGGGGGGGGGGGCAAAGGCTGCAGCTTCCTGCCGGCCCGGCGGCCCCCGGCATCTCTTTTCTTCAAGGGGGAGTCAGGGTGACCTCCGCTGCTGCTGCTGCTGTCGCCTCTCCTCCCCAGACACCTCTTTCATGTACATGATTGCCGGGCTGTGCATGTTGAAGCTCTACCAGAAGCGGCACCCCGATATCAACGCCAGCGCCTACAGCGCCTACGCCTGCCTGGCCATCGTCATCTTCTTCTCAGTCGTGGGGGTGGTGAGTGCTGGGCGGGGGGGGGGCGAAAGCCGGGGGCTGCCGTCCTTCTCGTGAGGATCCCAGTGTTTGCGGGCTGTGCTCTGCCTGCAGCCCAACCGCCCCCCGCAAGAGTCTTCTGTCAGTGGAACATCCCTGGGCGTTTTCTGTGTGTGTGTGTGTGTGTGTGTTTGTGTGTGTGTCCCCCCCAGTGAGGGAGAGGGGCGGTGGATCAGGGCACGCAGAAGGCCCCAGTGCCAGTCTGAGTAGATGAATACTGACCTGGATGGACTGAGGTCCTGATCCGGCATAAGGCAACTTCATGAGTTCATGTGTCCCCGGGGGCGGGGGGGAGCCACGCATGATTCCCAGGCACTGACCCGGCCACGTCTTCAGGCTCTACATGGTTCCCACCATCACCCTCCCCTGTGTCTGCTCCCCCAGGTCTTCGGCAAGGGCAACACGGCCTTCTGGATTGTCTTTTCCATCATCCACATAGTCTCCACATTGCTGCTCAGCACCCAGCTGTACTACATGGGCCGCTGGAGGCTGGGTGAGTTCCGCCCCCGGACCCTCCCGTGTGCTGCTGGCTGTCTCCAGCAGGGGCTGAGCTGGAGCCGGGCCTTCCGGACCCCTCCTGCTCCTCCATTCCACTGCCCGCCCTCCCTCCCTCTGGTGTGTACTCAGAGGCGTGGCCCACAGGTGCAGACCTCTTCAGGTTGTTGGCCCCTGGATGAGTGGGGCAGGGAGGCAACATGGAGGAAAGGGAACCTGTCAGCCTTCCTCTTCAGTCCACAGGGCTTAAGGCGTGTCCCCCTCGTTGTAGATTCCGGGATCTTGCGCCGGATCCTGCATGTGGTTTACATTGACTGCATCCGGCAGTGCAGCGGGCCCCTGTATGTGGTGAGTAGCTCCGCCTGCCTTCCAAGCACTGTTCCTGTTTTGTGGCTCTTTTATTTAAAACACCGAGATGAAAGGAGTGGTACGAATAAGCCTCCAAGTGGCTGGCATTAAAAAAAGCCCCACATGGGACTATGGCGACACGCTGGCGGACGCATCTCCCGGACCTCCCAGGGATGTGATCTATGCACCAGTGGATAGGAGGGGGGGCCACCCCCCCCGAGCCTTGGCAAAAGGCTCCTAGCTATGGGGCTTTTGAGGTGCGACCTCTTCACCAGCGCAATGCCGGGGAATTGGAAAAAGCAGATTTGATCCTCTGGTTCCAGGGAGTCCCAGAATTAAAGGGCAAGAATCTAAAGCAACTTTTGAGCGAAGCATTAGCCCCAGCTACAGTTTTGAAAGCAGATTACATTGCAAGCGAAATGGATGTGGTCTATAGGGCCAACTCTGTATACATCAAGAAAAACAATCTGCCTGGGGAGATAGTACCCCCAAACGTGCATACCAATTATTAGAAAAGATAAAACAAAATGAAGGCTGAAGGACTCTGAATTGTGTCTTAAAATTTTTCTTTATTATTGATGATGCTCTTGAGGTTCTCTTTAAATAGTTAAATTATTGGATAAAAAAGATAAATAATTTAGCATAACCGACTATGTTCAATGTGATATTAGCAATTTTAGACTAACATTAACATAAGCTGCTATGATCTCCAATTCTTGGGGTTTTAGTTATTAGTGGTTTTCTTTCCTTTCTCCCTAGATGTAGCTACCCTTCCCTATTTTTCCATTGTAGTTTGTAGTCTATTTAAAAAATGCAATAAAAAAATCTCCTCCGGGGGCTAAAAAAGAAAAGAAAAGAAAAGCCCCACATTTAAATCCCCAAACAGCCACCTAAAATAAGACAGCACAAAAGAACAGCCGAGAGAACAGCCAAGCCGTTTTTGTGCTGAATCGCCCAAGTCGAACATGTTGCCTCAGAGACAAGAGATGGTGGCGAATGGGTCACCCCAGGGAACTCTGTGTGATGCGTGGCTCCTGCCACAGAGAGGGCCCTGCCTCCACTCCGCGCCCGCCTTGTCTCAGCAGACAGGACCACAGGCAGTCCTTCAGGTGCCCTGGTTGCTGGTTCCAGGCGTGTTGGGGATTCTTATGTCAAGAGCAGCCCCTCGAAATACGCTCAGGAAAGAGGTCTGGGTGGAGACATTTTGGCACCACCGTACTGCCGTGTTCACTTGGGAAGACCACGCTGGTCCTCTGGCCACCGCTCTCTAAGCCAGCTGCAGTTTCCAGGCTGTCTTCAGGGGTCACCCTCTGGCTAGCAGCTGCAGCAGCCAGTGTGCATCTCAGGCCCAACAGTGTGGGAACGCCGCGGAGCAGAGGCACCTTCTGGAGATGGGCTGGGGGCTGAGACGGTCTCTTCTGTGGGTCTTTGGCCCCTCTCCCCCTCCCCAGCCAGTCAGGTCTAGTGGTGAAGTGCGCGGACTCTAATCTGGGAGAGCCGGGTTTGATTCCCCACTCCTCCACTTGCAGCTGCTGGATGACCTTGGGCAAGCCGTGGTTCTGACAAGAGCTGTCCTTGAAAAAGAGCAGTTTCTGTCAAGAGCTCTCTCAGCCCCGCTGGAGAGGGGAAGGGAAAGGAGTTTGTGAGCCGCTCTGAGACTCCGAGTGAAGGGCAAGGGGAATGAAATCCAGTCTCTTCTCTCTTCTTCTGTCCCCAGGATCGGATGGTGCTGCTGGTGATGGGCAATATCATCAACTGGTCACTGTGAGTAACAGCCGGTGGGTGGAGCTGGGGCCCGGCCCTCGGGTGAGCTCGAGGTGGTTGCCAGCTGACTGAGGAGCCAACGGGGGCCTGGTCTGTCTTGCCAGAGGGCAGGGCTCTTTGCCGGCAGCCCCGTCTTGTTCGGGGGGGGGGCAGGGCTCAGGGGCAGAGCCTCTGCTTGGCACACAGAAGGTACTGGGTTCCGTCCCCAGCAGCACCACCACCTGTTAAAAGGATCGGGCGAAGAACCTCTGACGGGGACCCTGGAGGGCTGCTGCCTGTCTGAGTGGGCAAGATGGAGCTCGAGGGGCTGAGGGGCTGGCTCACTCTCTGGCAGCTTCCTGTGCTCACGTGCCCCCGCCTTGGCCCCCCCTTTTGTGTCCCCCCCCCATGCAGGGCTGCCTACGGTCTCCTCGCCCGGCCCAACGACTTTGCCTCCTACCTGCTGGCCATCGGCATCTGCAACCTGCTGCTCTACTTTGCCTTCTACATCATCATGAAGGTGCGGTGGGGGGGCACTGCTTTACCCTGGGGGAGCCGCCCGCCTGCCCATTTGCTAGTGTGGAAGAGCCTTGGCTGGACGGGGCCCCTCTCTTGAGGGGGGGGCAGGTGGGCATGGCTCATGGCAGATGGCTCCACGTCTTCCAGTCTGGTGCCGTGGCTAAGTGCTCGGACTCTAATCTGGGAGAGCCGGGTTTGATTCCCCATGCCTCCACTTGCACCTGCTGGTTGACCTTGGGCAAGCCGTAGCTCTGTCAGAGCTCTCTCAGCCCCGCCTACCTGACAGGGTGCCTGTTGTGGGGAAGGGAAAGGGGTTTGTCAGCCGCTCTGAGACTCCTCCCTTGGGTGGTGAAGGGCCATGGATCCAACCCCTCCCTCCTCCTCTTCTCCCCCCACAGCTCCGGAGTGGCGAGCGCCTCAGGCTGATCCCCCTGCTCTGCATCGTCTGCACGTCCGTCGTGTGGGGCTTCGCCCTCTTTTTCTTCTTCCAGGGCTTGAGCACCTGGCAGGTGAGCTCAGCTTCTCCCCCAGGTTGGACCCTCAGCATCCGGGGGTGGGGTGGGGACTGGTAGCCTGTGGTCGAGCAGTCCTGGGCTCTGTTCCCTAGAGCTGTATTTCAAAAAGGGAAAGGAAAGGACCGAGGTCCAGAGAAGAGCCCCTCCCTGCAGCTGGGCTGCGGCGGCCAGTGCCTGCATTTGCTGAGGGCCTCTCACACGCCTGACGCTGCCTCCCACTTGAACCAGACCCTCCCTCCCTCCCTCACGGCCAGTCCTGTCTCCGGGGTCTCAGGCTGAGGTCTTTCACGTCGCCTACTGCCTGGTCCTTTTAACTGGGGATGCCGCCTGGGATTGAACCTGGGACCTTCTGCATGCAAAACAGATCCTCTGTCGCTGAGCCACAGCCCCTCCCTCTCAAACCGGTTTGGCCCTCCCGCCCTGGACCCAGCTTCTCAGTGCTTGCATCTTGGTGGTTGTGAAGGTGCATGCCACACCGCTCAGCCACGCCTTGTTGATCTTGGCAGAAAACGCCGGCAGAGTCCCGAGAACACAACCGGGACTGCATCCTGCTCGGTTTCTTTGACGACCACGACATCTGGCACTTCCTCTCGTCCATCGCCATGTTTGGCTCCTTCCTGTGGTCGCTCGCCCCCCCCCCCCCGGCCGGCCTCGGTGCCTGGCTGGGGCGGTACAAAGCACAAAAAACCGCTGGCTAAATAATATTTAATGCCAAGTTCAGTCATTCAGAAATATAACTATATAAAGCCAAGGTGTTCTTGCAAGAAACAACAAATATGCAGAAAGAAGAATAAAGTCCCAAAAATTTCAGTGTCTCACACTCCAGTTGTATTGCGATATCCTAGTCCAGCTTGATGTGCATTCATCATGGAGTGGACTCATATAGTTCCTGGATAATCCAAACATTCTTGAATTCCATAAGCCATAGAAGAGACACGTAGTCTGGATGCAAGCTGCCGCGTTCCGAGTAATACTTTTTCAAAACCAACAGGCGATAGTGGGACCGGTGTTCCCTCTAGGCTGAGTGAGTGTGAGGTAGCTCACAGTGTATTAGCCTCTGGCTCACACACATTTGCCTTAGCGCAGGAAGGAGGGCTCCAGAGCAAACTGATTGATGCAGCAGCCAAATCGCTGGCTCGCAAAGTAGCATTTTTGCTCACAAGACTCCACAACTTAAGAGGGAGCACTGAGTGGGACCCAATCTCAGTAGAAGCACATGCAAAAGCCAGTAGTATAGTCAGTCATAAAGGATCTTGGGTCCTGGCTGGGGAGGAGCAGGGCCCACAGGGTGGGGGGGGTATCTGCTGCCAGCTGTGCCAGAAGACCCTCCCCCAGCAGATTAAAGGGCAGGAGGGAACGATGTGGGGGAAGCTGCCTGGGTGGGCTTCATCCTCCCCCCTCCTGCCCCTGAGGTCCCCGCTGTGCCTCCAGAGCGAGGCCCCCCGGAGCTCTGCCCCTGCGGAAGGGGTCGATTGGGGGTGCTTGGGGGGGGTCAACAGTGGGAGGGCTTCTAATGTCCTGGCCCCACTGGTGGACCTCCTGATGGCACCTGGTATTTCTGGCCACTGTGTGACACAGAGTGTTGGACTGGATGGGCCTTTGGCCTGATCCAACATTGGCGTCTCTTATGTTCTTATGGATAAACATATGGAGCAGAGGTCCATTGGTGGCTCTTAGCCACAAGGTATAGATAGGAACTCTTGGTCTGGGGCAGGTGATGCTCTGTCTTCTTGGTGCTTGGAGGGGGAGGCAACGGTGGGAGGGCTTCTAGGGTCCTGGCCCCACTGGTGGACCTCCTGATGGCACCTGGTATTTCTGGCCACTGTGTGACACAGAGTGTTGGACTGGATGGGCCTTTGGCCTGATCCAACATTGGCGTCTCTTATGTTCTTATGTTATGACTGAGGCCTGGTTCTTCCCCCTCTCTCCCTTGCAGGTCTTGCTGACCATGGATGATGACCTGGATTGCGTCCAGCGAGATAAGATCTACGTCTTCTAGGGGCTCCTGAGTTCCTGCCGGCCTCTCCAGGGCCATGCAAAAGTGTCCTGCCTGGAGGGGGGGGTCTGCAAGGGGGACCCCTGCCCCCGCTAGCCAGGGGGCACAGATTTTGATGCCGTGGCAGGATCCATGGGCAGGAGGGCGTGTGGCGCCTGCCGGGGGGAAGGCTTCCCGGTTCCCGTCCCAGTGCCGGGGGTTGGTGGTCTGGCTGCCAAGCCGTCGGGCAGCTCCGAGTGTGTTTCTGCTGCGTATCTGAGGCCTCTCTCGGGGGGGGGGGCTGGGCTTTGGTTTGTGGGAGTCCAAGGATTGCAAGGAGCCTCCTTGGCCATCAGCACCCGGAGGCCCATCCCCACACTGCTCCTTCCTAGGAAGCTGGGCTGAGTGATTGTGGACACCCACCCCCGGGTTGTGTAAAGGGGCTAGGGGTGTCCTGACCGGGTCGGGGTGAGCTGGGGCCTGTGATTTGGGGAGGGGGTAGGCTGCAGCGGTGTCAGCCAAGCTCCAGGCCACCGTCCTCATCCTCCTGCCATTTGGACCCCCCCCACATCAGTGCTGAGACTGTGTGGCAAGCTCTGCACACCTCCTCCGGACCCTTCAGGCCAGCCCAGGTGCACTCCCCAGGGCCACCGCGGCCCCGTTTTGGGAGGCAAGATCTTTGGATGCTGCCGTCAAGGGTTCCCTCCCTCCCTCCCTCGGAGGAGGGCTGCAGCTGAGCTCGCCTGCCAACAACATCGCCTTGGGCGGAGATGGGGGTGTTCCTCTTGGTTCCTGAAGCACACACACACACACACACACACACACACCCCGTACACGGGACTCTTTCCAGTGCCTACTTCCTGGGGCAGGGGCAGTCTGTCTACTTCTTCGTGTCTCTTCTTTGGCCGGGCAGCCAGTCCGGCCTTCAGCAGTCGCACAGCCACCCAACGGTTTAACATCATTGTGCCGCCTGCGCTTCCTCCTGGGGGTGGAGGCCAAGGCGGTGACTTTTTGGGGGGGGGTGGAGGTGAGACACACACGCACACACACCCCCAAGCGGCTGACGGGTGGGTGGCCCGGTCTCGTTTGTGTGTTTCTACGAGTGAATGTCATCTGTTTGTTTTCTTGTCCTCGGCATAGTCTTGCCGTTTCCATTTCTACCGATTCTGCTGCCAAATGCAAAAAAATAAAAGACAGATCTGCTCTGCCGCCTCCGTCTCTTCCTCCTCTGTGGTCGCCGAATCTGGGAAAAGTAGTTGCGGAAGTGGGGAGAGAGGGCAGCCACGCTAGGGAGGGGGAAGGCCTGGAGTGCCTCCTCTGGGAGGGGGGCAGTTTTCAGTTGAGAAGACAGATGGTGACGGGGCCCAGAGAGTCCTGTGGGGAGAGCAGCAGGAGCCCTGGAAGGAACGCCCCACTGGCCCTTGGGGCGGGGGGGGGCAGCAGGCCGTGGGGACATACAGCAGCGCCCTGAGCAACGTCTTCCCTGTGTCCCTGTGGTGGCCAGGTGTGCTGTCAGCTCCCCCACCCCCACCCCCCACTCCTGCTGGTGGCAGGGACCAAGTCGATTCCAGTTAGGGCAGGGGGCTGCGAGTCAGGCCAGGAAGGCAGTTTTAACAGCAACTCAGCTGGGCTGACAGGCTGCTATTATAGAGGAAGCCTAGGCTGGGAATCTGAGGTTATTTCTACCACTCACTCCCCCCTCCCCTTCTCCTGGAGCGACACCCATCAACACCTTCCTTTCACAATACAAAACAGAAGAGAAGAGATTGGATTCATACCCCATGGCCCTTCACTACCCAAAGGAGTCTCAGAGCGGCTTACAAACTCCTTTCCCTCCCCCTCCCCACCACAGACACACTCTGAGGTCGGTGGGGCTGAGAGAGCTCTTAACAGAACTACGGCTTGCCCAAGGTCATCCAGCAGCTGCGAGTGGAGTGAGGAATCAAACCCGGTTCTCCCAGATTAGAGTCCACACACTTAACCACTGCTCCAAACTGGCTCTCTTATTGTCTCTTCTTTAGAAGGGCTCAATGCCTAGTAGTTTTGGTGGATAAGACAAGATAACACGTCATTCATCTTCATCGTAGACAGCAAGGAACAGCAGAACTCTGCCTGAAAACAGTGACACTTTCACAAAGTCGGAGTCCGGTGGCACCTTTAAGAGCAACGTTGGTGTCCAGTCAGGCACCTCTTAAGACCAACAAAACCTTTATGCTGGATAGAAGCTTCCGGGTGCATCCACACTCCTTCAGATGCACTGATCCTTTCACACACCCGCAGCTTTACTGAACTGACACGGTGGTTCTGTTGGAGAGGGAGGGGAAATGAAGGGTTTTACTTGGAACTTCCCCCTGAACTGCCTCTTTATTGGCCCCTGTGCGCTTATCCTAGAGATGTCAGAGTTCTTTTCTTTAGCCCAGCAATGCTTAACTGTTCTCTGGGTAGATCAAGATGGGCAGTCTTGTTAGTCTGTCTGTAGCGGTAGAAAAGGGCAAGAGTTGGTTGTTAGTACTCAAGGGGCTACTGGACTCCTGCTTTTTTCTACCGCTCCTTGGGTAGTGCTTCCCCCGCCCTGTTTCTCAGTGGTTCCCCCAAGCCCCACCTGAGGCCACGGCTGACAGCCAGTAGAGGTAGAGAGGGTGAGGGCGGGCTGTGGCAGTCGGGTGCTTGCGGCTCTCCGTGACTTAGCTGGAGAGGCCCACGTGGCAATGCGTGTTGTTGATCCGCAAGGTGCCTCTGGACACCTGTCACCTGTGAGTGGGGTGGACCCATTGGACGGACGGCTGCCTGAGCTTGGCTGGACCCAGCGAGATGGCCGAGGGGCCAGATCCCCACTGGTCACTGCCGCCAGCCTGTTCTGCCCTGGGAATGCTGTCCTCCCAGGCCTCCGCCCTGTGGGATCTCCACCCGCACAGATGCTGAACAGAGACTGACACAACTCCACTATGGCTGTGCTTGTGGGACCCCAGGCCCCCACCTGCAGAGGGGGCTCCATCTACCAGGCGCAAACTGTAGCCATCTGAGGAGACGTCTGCTCCATCCATCCATCCATCCACCCACCCACCCGTTGGTGCTGCCGCACAGGGCTCAGACCCTGCAAGGCGACAGGTGCCAGGGGTCTGTGGCCAGCACTGCCACAGAGAGCACAGGGCGGACTGGCCAGCCCAAGGTCCCACAGCAGAGGAGCGATCCAAACGTGGGCCTGACACCACCCTAGTTTTCGTTTTGGTCGGAGGGTGGGGAAGACATTGCCCAAGGATATAGGGCTCCCCCCCCATGCATTCCTCCCACCCCATTCTAGGATAGGAGGACTCGGGGGAGGGGGGCTGCCGAGCTGGACGTCTGCAGGCTTGGGTCAGGGTGAGGTTTTCTCTCAGAGGCACACAGATGTTGCTGCCGCTGCTGCTCGGCCTTCCCGGTCCGGTCCGTGCCCCACGAGGGCTCTCTGAGCTTCTCCTGTTGAAGCACAGTCCCCCCCCCCACGGCTTTGCAAAGGTCTCCTGGTGGGGGGGGGCCTGAACTGGCTGCCCGGTGAGTTTGGGGTCAAGGAGAGATTTGGAGGCCTTTTGGCCTCACTCACCTAACTATAGAACAAAGTTGGAGTTCAGTGTCACCTTTGAGACCAACAAAGTTTAATTCTGGGTATAAGCTTTTGTGTGTAAGTACACTTCAGTAAGGAAGGCCAAGCACTCTCAATTTATGGTGCTGGAGAAGACTCTTGAGAGTCCCTCCTTGGAGTGCAAGGAGATCACATCAGTCAATCCTAAAAGAAATCAACCCTGACTGTTCCCTGGAAGGCCAGAGACTGAAACTGAAGCTCAAATACTTTGGCCACCCAATGAGAAGGGAGCACTCCCTGGAGAAGAAGACCCTGATGCTGGGAAAGACCGAAGTTCAAAGAAGAAGGGGGTGGCAAAGGATGAGATGGTTGGACAGTGTCATAGATGCAACAAACATAAAATTAAGCAAACTCTGGAGCACGACGGAAGACAGAAGGGCCTGGCGTGATCTGGCACTGCTCAGGCAGCTGTCCGTCCACCCTTCAGGGGGTGGTGGATCTGGTCCATGGGGTCGCAAAGAGTCTGACTCAACTGTGTGACTGAATGACGACAACACTTCTTTGGATATTGCCTAGCTATAGTTGTTTCGTGACTGGCTGTCTCTTTGGAAGGTTCTCCGCAGTGGCCTTCATGTGGATGTTGCTGTGCTTCTGCAATATCCTCTGAAGACCAGGGGTGCCTGGACCCCCACGTGCTAATCCCAGTGTGGCCGATCCACAGGTCACTTCCCTTTGGAGTAAACACATTTTCTCCATAATCAGAGCATCTTTTAGTGGGGAAAAGCTGGATTCCAATCCCATCTAGCCCATGGAGGAGAACTCCCCCTTCAGCTTCATTTCCCCCCACTGGTAAAGCAGGGACAGGACGGAGTGCCCCGAAGAGGAGGGGCAAAGGAAAGGCCGGTGGGGGCATTTGCAAAGGGCCCCAGTTCTGTGCCGTCCTACACCAGGCAAAATGTTCTTATCGGTTCCTTTTGCATTGGGGGGGGGGGGGGCTGCACTGTTGCCAGCTCTGGGATCCAGCTAGTTGACGCTTTAGCTCTTCATCTTCAAGGGGCACAAGGGGAGCCCCTCCTGGCCTGCTCCCCCTCCCCACATCCCGGCGGAGTTCTGACCTCACAGGGAAACCAGCTCTGAGGTCAGAGCAGACACCCAACGTGTGCCCCCCTCCCCGCCCGCTCATCCTTCTTGCTCAACATCTGGGCTGCTGCCGCTGCCCTGCCTAAAAAAGGACTTGCTGCCTCCGGGCGGGCCTGTCGGACTCCTCCGGCATCTGGGGAATGTCTCGGGGAGGCTGCGGCGGCTCCCGCTGTTTTGGAGTCTTTCCCCAAATATGGTGCCTGGCGCTGATGCCTCAGTGGCGATGGGCCGGCCATGACATCACCCGCCCGGGAGCCTTTTAGCCCGGCGCCAGCTGTTGCTCACTGCAGACCCAGCAGCCTTGGAGGAGAGAGAGAGAGAGAGAGAGAGCCGGCGCTGCGTCTTGTGAGTGGCGTCTCTGGGGTGCGGCTGGTGCAGGGGGGGGGAAGGGTGTTGGTCTTGGCGGCGGGTGGTTTGAAATGGGGGGGGGCACAAATACTTGGTCTGGAAGAGCTGTACCCCTCTAACCTGGTTCTGTCTGGATTTGCCCGTTGGGGTCAGGAGCAGGGAAGCACTGGAGGAGGGGAGGCAGGGTTTGGGGATGCTCAGAGGCTGAGACGCTGAGCTGCAGACCAGAAGGTCAGTCGTTCGGCAGTTCGAGACGCAAGTGCCCCGTGATGGAATGAGCTCCCGTCTCCCGCCCCAGCTCCTGCCAACCTAGCAGTTCGAAAGCAAGAAATTGCAAGTAGATAAA